TATTTATTTATTCATTTATTGACAGTCTTCCAACTTTTGGCGAGAATACAACCCTAGCAGTCTTCCATGATGTTGGAACGTAGGTCAGCCTTAAACAGCCTTCAAATATGTTGAACAGCCAGCCTTTGGTCTTCCTACCCGCCTTCTGTAACATCGCAGGAAGATACCGTCCAGACCCGGCTCTTTGTACTGCGAAAAAGAGCCCACTCCACCCGGGATAGTGTTACCAGTTCTCATGCAAGGCTTCCACCACCTGCAATGTATGCTGCAACGGCAGGTAGACCTCCTGGATCCTCGACCGCAGGGTAGTGAGCCTTCAACAATATATCGATAGATTCCTCGCTATCCAGAGTCCACTCGCCGCCGTCCTTTCTAATAAGTCCTTGGGTTACGCAACCCTTGGACAGGACATTCCTTAACCTTGTTGTCTCGGTGGAGCTCTCGATTCCACTGCATTAGTTTCTTTTCTCACTACGTATGGCTTTTTTGTAGATCTTTAGAAGATCCCTATACTCGTCCCAGCACTCATTAGAGTCCGCACTCTTTGCTAGGGGACAGCCCTATTCACCCCATACAAGTCCTCCACGTCCGACCTGGGGGAACTCAGCCTGTCCTCAGCCAACTTTTGGAAAAGGGGGTGAGTCTTGGATTCCTAAAGGAATTATACGTTTGGGATTTCCTAGCAAAAATAGTAAAGCCCATATTATCATCGTCCGAGAAGGAGGGCCTGTCAGCTATACGCCAGGCTCAGAACAAAAAGTTAACCCTAGAATACTAACCTTATTTTTTATTCATTTAATACTAACGTTCGCCTGTGAGGCTACTTTGAAAAAAGGTACAAATTCTGTATTTCTAAAACCTTAAATTTGTTTAAAAAAATGGGCTTAAAAATATTTCATATGTTTTTAAAGTAAAAAAAAAAATAATAATTTAATAATTTTTTTAATATTAATGAAAATAATTCGTATTGAAAATAACACATATTTTATAATCTTTTTGAAAGGGGTCATTTTAAAAAATAAAAACTTTTAAAAGCGAACGCACTCAAACAATCCATAAATTATCTTAAAGGTATTCGTATTTACTTTCACACTTAAAAGGAATTAGTTGTTTATCCTTTCTATTGTGACCTGTACTTAAAAATGAAATCGACCCTTTTGTATTACATTGGGCCTTATAAACAAAAACTAAGCAACGCTTTTTTCTTAAAATTTCAGATCCTTTACGTAAAGTTTTTCGAATAAATCAACCAAAAGGTTTGAAATCTTAAGAAAAAGAAACTGCTTAGTTTTTATTCATAAGGCGCATTCACTGAAATCTTCATCCAAATTGTTCTCACTATCGGTTCCAATCAACGATATTTCTTCCAACCATTTTAGAACTTGTTCCCCACTCGAAAAGTAAAAAAAAACATAAGTTCAAAACAGAAAATAGCCAACAAACATTTTAAAAACTGAAATAAATACAGCAAACAAAATTACCTTTACTACTAACTTTCGCCTGTCAGGCGTCAAGAGGGCGTGGAACTCAGCCGCACAAGGCCACTGTACAATGTGCGTTAGCTAACAGCCTCGTGCAGAGCTAAGCTGAGTTGGCGCGAACGTTTACTTTGATCATTAAAAGCGTTCCTGAAATATCGCGCGGAAACCGGATTCGTTCCGCCTCACAGGCGAACGTTAGTATTCTACGGTTAAGTAAAGAACGCAGTTCGACGTTGGCCCCACGTATGTGGGAACCTTGTCGCTATTAGCTACACACAAGTTACTGTGAAATAGGAAACAAAGAAGAGACTCACCTCGTTCATTTATGTCGTGGCACCCCCAGCGGGAATGGTGTGCATTTGCGTGGGCGCCTATGACGACGTCCCGTCCTCTGCGCTTCTCCTCCTCCACCAGCCTTCTAAGCTCTCTGAGTGGGGAGCCCTTGTTGTGCGCCATGTATCAGAACCCCAGGATTAATAACTCCTCTCCTTCGCTCTCTATGGCCACAACTTAAAGGTCCTCAGGATTGTAATTAGATAAAGTATATGAGTACAAGTTTTTTCCTACCAGCATTGTTGCTCTCACCCATCCCTCACAGCTTGCGTAGTGCACATCGAAGTTACGCGCCTCCAGTCCAGAAACCTTTCCTCCCGACAAGATCCATTGCTCCTGGACTAGCGCCACGTTGAGCGACTCCTCCTCTTATGTGATGAGGAGTTGACTCGAAGTCACCTTACTATATTGAAGGTTTATCTCGAGGATCTTCAGCATTTGGCCGCTGCTTGCCCCCGTCAACCTCAATTGCTTCACCACCTTCATCGGCCTTCTCCGCTATGCTCAGGCTAGGCAAGCTATGGAGACCTAAGTCTTTCTCGACCCACCCACCCCCCACCTCCCCCCTGGGCTTCGATACGTGAATCACTCTCCAATCCCATGTGGGTGACTTCGCTGCAACTGCAAAGCATCCTCCGCCTTCACCACAAACGGAGTCCATACCTTAGCATTTGGTATCGTGGGGATCAGAGCCCTATCCACCACCTCTAGATGTGCGTTACCCTGTCTTTGAAGGCTAGGTACCACTCCCTTTAACCAGCTGAGTGTCGCGTCGTCGTTGCATCTAATGAGTTTTACCCCTTCAAACCAACCTGCCGCATCGAAAGTAGGCATGGGAAAATGTCGTCCACCGTGGTATCGCCCCTTGCCACGGTAAGGTAACCGTTACTTCCCGAGGCCATCCTGGTCGATCCTCAGCACGGAAACGCGGGACACTTTAATCCAGCCCCTGTAAATATACTTCACAACCATGATAAAACATCATTTCCGTATGGCAGAGCTATTTATGTGCTTAAGCACACAGCACTGATCCCTTATCTTAGCTGGATACCGTCCTGACTTTGCACAGGCTCACTCTATGGTACCCATTACTAGCCGGCATCCTCGCGGAGGGTTCAGTCGGGGATTTTCACCAACCAAACTACTGTATACATAAATTTATCGCATTAAGTCTAACTGAACATACTATCGAAATTGTTTAACCCTTTGTAGGGCGCGCTTTGAAAGTTACACGAGTGGGTGCCCGCGGCAATTTAGCCCTAGGTTGACTGCCCTTTCTATTTAGGTCGAAAACTCATTCAAGTAAAACATTTGAATAATTTGTGTTTATACTGAAATATTTTATAAGCATTTGTTTTTAACTTTTATCCGTCATCACCAACATTGGTGTTGGTACATTCTACACATTGTGAAATATGCTTGCAATGTTTTCTGAAAACATTTTTGTTACAAATAATATAACAGATTTTTGTTTTATTATTCCTGGTACATATCCAGCCCTAACCGCCAAAAAACGTAAGCGTAATTTTTTTTCAAAAATTTCTTATTGATACAGAATACATATAGATGCCCTAGAAATATTTCTGCATCAAAAATAAAATTTTGATTGAAATTTTTGTCGCTTACTTTATTTTGGCAGTTAGGGCTCGATATTCCTGGTTTCGATTGCTGTTGCGTAGCTGGAGTGCTTCTATATAAGTTTGAAAGCATAATTTTTCCCTAAACTTACGAAAATGAATATCATAATAGTTACAGCAATGTTTACGCAAAGTATGTGTAATCTTAAAATTACAAATGACGAAATACTTACAAAATAATAATTAATTCAGCCGCATATATGAGACACCAACTTTCTAATACAAATATTAACTGAACGATAAAACGCAGCAAGTAACGGCTAACTGTGAACCATGCTGCATCTCAAGACTTACAAAACTACTCAGTGCCGCGGCGCGCCCTCCGAAGGGTTAAAATAGGGGTAAAACCATCCTGCGTACCATATCACGGTAGTTTTCAGAATGGTGAAAAACCCATATTTAATACGTGCGTCAGGCATTTAATGTTTGGCTTCAAAGAATAAGCTGAAATTGGTTAGATGAGTGTGCCACAACTTTTCAAATGTCAAAAATCAAAACTTCTAGGGATATGCCATATGGGCGAAACATTGTTTCGATTCTAAATGATTCAGTGTACTCGAATTCGCTTTCTTTTGCGGATTTCCCTGCTTGAGGAATTTTGAAAATAGCACACAATATAAGTTTACAAAATATTTTACTATTATTCTTTATTTTTAGGAAGCAGATGATATACCCACTGACAATTTAAATTTCTACGATAACAAAACTGCTCTCGATAATTTGCTGACAAAGCCAGACGGACTTTTTTATATAATCGATGATGCTTCTCGCTCTAGCCAGGACCAAGATCTTATTATGGGTAAGTGTTTAAGCATACTTACTTATGTAAATATGTACGTACATACATACATGGATATAAAATGAGCATTAGAGTGTTCCGAAATGCAAAGAGTACTTTCTTCCCAAATTCAATTGCATACCATCCAATTTTTTTTCTTTTTAAATTAAATAACGTTTGTAAGGCTTATTATAATACTAGCTGACCCGCTAGACGTTGTCCTGCCCACATTTCTACAACTTTTTTCTGTAATCATTTTGTGAACAATGGAAGCCTTTAATAAAGTAGTGTAAATATCAGAAAACAATTAAAAAAGTGAGAAAAGATATTTCTAGCTGATATTGGGCACGTTCAGAAGGCGCAACAGCTCAGTAACTGTTGCGATTGCACCTTCTGAACGCGTTGTTTTGTACTTATGATCAACTGAACAGTTGTGTGTTAGATGATCGTAAAATTTTTCTGATCATTTGAGATAATGTGTTGTGTGTTTTGAATTTGACAGCTAATGTATCAAGCCGTTCAGAAGACGCATTACGATCATAAATTTTTTTTAGCAACGGTTGCGCTCAACTTCTGCACCTTCTGAACCTACCCATTGTTGTTGATTTATTCCAAACTTTAAGTCACAATTAAATTAAGTAAAAGTTAAATAACTTATTTTATTAGAATGCTGCACGATACTTTTAGTTTTTTATCTGTCGCGTAAACAAACAAAACTAATGGTTTTGCAACACGGTAACAGGTAATTGGCCACGCGAGAATCATGACTTGCTTATTGTCAATGTAAACCGCGCGGGAAGCTGCTACAGATTGAAGCTGAATAAAATGTTGGCGGGAATCATTGGTAAGGGTGGTATCAGAACGTATTCTCCGATGAGCAAAGTCCATCACTTTGTTCGCCACCATTCGGGTTCCATTACAAAGACGTGGTTGGTTGGTATATCGCGGCATTATGATTATCAATCCGACTATCTATTGGAAACTGTGAGATGGTAATCCTGGTAGTTCTAGCGAGTTTAAAAACTCAGCATCATCTTAGCTAGTAATCAAAAATGGGCCCAGTTAAAATATCAAAGGGGATTTCGCTATTGTCAATGTCTAGTGTTTAGTTGCTTTGAAAGTACTTATTCAAATTGCACATAAGAGCAAAGTGACTAATTACGACGACAAAAACAGAAAAACAAAATTCTTTAAACCTTATCACGCTTATCTTTAAAATAGTCCTTATAAACCAGTTCATAATGTAACAAAGAAATTTTGACTTTTAACGCAACGCAGTAGCTTTAGCATAAGCGCAAAGTTGGCTTTTCTTTCGTTCTGCGGTGACATACTCTTCGTTGTAGACTCATTTATACCATCTGAAGAAATTAGTCTTCCACACATTGAATCTGCAGAATTGAAATGCATTCGTGTACAGGTTGGAAAAGGGTTTATTTACTTAGCTCTATGCTATATTCCTCCCCGATCTGACACATCGGTTTATTCACAACACGTCTCATTACTTAAATCAGTTAATTTATTAACGAAACCCTCTGATTCAATGAATGTGTTGGGTGATTTTAATTTACCAAATATATTAATGAACATCATTGACAATGATATCGTACCTTTCGCGTCTAGTGCGTGCAACAACGTATTTTTAGAGGAGATCGCTGAACTCGGCTAACTCAGGTTAATGTACTTCATAATAATTTGGTAAAGTATTAAATCTTGCTTATGTAGTGATGATGCATGTGAGTCCGTTTTAAATAAGTGTGATCCACTAGTTTTGCCCGAAGATGTCTACCACCCTGCTATGGAGATATCTTATGAAATTATAAGTGATGGTCAAAGTTGCGATATCCAAGTGAATGACTCAGTGAGAGGGGAGACCAGTATTTGCGTATGTATTTATAAAAAA